AGAGAAGATGATGCAACCGAAAGGAGATTTGTCCTGGCTCATATAGTAACTTCGCCTGTCAAGTGGCATGTCATTGTTTTCCATAGGCTTTGTTGTAAATAAATTGGACACTCATTTTATTATTCCAGGATGGCGACATTGGCTACATGGGTTTTCACCGGGTACTCCGGTTTCCTCCCACATTAAGTCGCCCCCGCGCTTATGTCCGGGCCAACAACAATGATTAATATAAGTTGAAATAACTTTTTTCATAATTGTGAATCAACTGTAATTGTAAATCAACTTTATATTTAGTGACTCTCATCTCAACCATTGCGTAGGTACTGTTTGATGGCAAGTGTCCACTGTGCGTAAAAGATGACTTACTGAGGAAGTTTAACCGTGGTTCCGTGGACTTTGTTGATATCACCGATGGCACCTACACTCCCGCCGACCACCAAGGAGCTGCATGTCATATCACCAGACAAACGGGTATGTTACAGTACCTACTACAGAATATAATAGATCCTTTGGGTTTACCTAAACGCCTGATCAATCTACACATCGAAATATCTACTAAAGGTATTAAAAAGGCAGTTTATAGTGCTCTTTTTAGAACGTAAACATTATTATTTGATATATTTTTTTCAAATCACGCATGACTGATTTCGTTTCAACTGATGTAGAGTTTCATCAAGAATGCCTTCCAATGGAAACAAACATCAATGAGTGAATTTTCTTCAGTTTTGGACGCTTGTGAAAATAGGGGCTTAAAGCATTTAATGGTTTTCCGTTTCATACGATGCAGGTTACGGTATAACTGTCAATTATATGTTTTTGTGCAGGTGTTTGTTGGGATGGAGGGAACTCGTGAGCTATACCGTGCAACAGGCCTTGGATGGGTGATGGCCTGGACTGATCTGCCAGGTGTGAAGTGGGTTACAGACTCCGCCTACCGTTGGTTCGCTCTCAACAGGCATTGGTTGACTGGTCGATTAGCAGAGAGCAAGCTGCAGGATGACTGTGACTCCGGCCGGTGTAAGATCACCAAAGATGGGCAACAGAAACGATGATGACGTGGACAACTAAGCAACAGTCGTTTAAATAATTCACCCCTGACATTTCATAATGAACTATTACAACCTTTGAACTGGAAGAGTTCAAATGTGTCTTCAGGGGTGATTGCGTTAATCACAATAAACTGTGAATAAAGTTGCAGTGTGACAGTGAAGTGTTACAGGACATACATGGAAGTCCAGAAGAATGGTGACAATATTTAATTCGTTTGACCATCCAGGCCTTTGCTCATGTTTTGCCCTAGGATATTTCTGATATGATACGTATTTTGCCTTTGTGAAATGTGTCATTGATGACCGAAACGATACGCTGGTACTGCCACCAGATAATGCATTTTAGCGGTAGTCATTAAACGTTCATGCATCATTGCGTGTATGTAGCCTCGATGCCAAAACAGGCTGTTCACATGCATTGTATTTTGTTTCTACTCTGGAGAACACGATATGCTGTGTCTCAATTGTCGTGATTGATATAATCACATCCAGGTTTATATGGAAGCTAAAAGCAAGTTTCTATTTCATTTTAGATTTATTTATACTACATTAAGATACATGCGTTACTAATATAAAATCTAATACAGGTCCCATTCCATATCAGATGTTTGGAGAACCTCTTGTTTGTAAAAGGAAACATTCATGACAGGTTTCTTATAACTATAATGAACTAAAAGTCATTGTTTTGGCATAATTTTATTATAAGATTTTTTTCGAATATTGCGAATAAGTCCGTTTCTACGACATTATATCGAAAAAGACTGTGATATTATTCCATATGTGATAATGTCGTATTTGGTCATATTATATGAGCTTTACATATTTTTATGACAAACATGTAGTCATGTACTTGGTGAATCAAAACATCGTGATACAAACAGTTTTCAGGCCAAGAAAATGAAGAAATACAATGTTCAATACATGTATATGTATCACACTGTGAAAGTTGACCTGAAACAAAAAATCCAAAAAGGTACCAATTCGTTGTTAATTAATGATCAAACCAAGGATGGGTTTCAAATCTGTAAACGTCATTTTGCGCTGTGGTAAGATGACGTCATGCCGTCCTCGACGTTACATTTTGTCCATTTTGGTTGTGAGATTGATGTTTTCCAGGAGCAAATTGAATATCAATACGGGAAAACCAGGGATACGATTTTGCACGAAAATGCACATATTTAGAACATGTGTAGGTACATATATATATATATTGAACTCATTACCACACATATGTATCTGGTGTCGCATAAGGCACTTGTTTATTATGCGGATGTACACACCCATTTGTTCATTACTCGCTCTCCTGTATGTATTCTTCCGCACAATACGTCATATGAAAGGATATGTAGTATTGGGAATAGGTCAACGAATAGCGAGATAACCGTCATCAGTCATACTTGTGTATCAGTAAAGTTGGAAATGTATATTGACATATATGCGATTTATTTTTTCGTACATTTATTTTTGTCATTGTGAATTGTAATATATATATATGTGTATATTTGTTATGTTTTTTGTTGTTTTTTTTATAAAAAAAAGATGTTTGAAGTCTATGTCTCTCGTTCTTATTTGTTGGAACAGATTATGAAATCACATAATACATGTAATAATTATTAAGTGCACACACCATACAAAAGTTAAACCTCCCTCAGATACTGGTGTGTGGTGAGCAGAATTAGGACGTGTGGAGAGGAGAGTGACATTTTTGTCTCGGACTTAGGTAAGACCGACAGCAGAAGTGAAGATAACTTCGAAAACTAAGCTGTAGATCACAAGATTTACTGTTTATCATCGTCAAGATTCAAGATTTTATTAAACGGTCCGTCACACCGAAGTGTGAAACAAGGGGTCAGAGTAATATACAGGTATGCCGTGGTGATTCAAGTGTAAACCTAACGTGGAAACCATAACAGAGTAAGTTTTATATTCAAACTACAAAATGAGGCCTTACAATAACATCTCCCGTTTTTAACCGTTTCAATTTTGATTTATAGTGACATATTCATTTTCATTACTTGACTCAGTCTTAGGGGATTAGATCAACTTAAATTTCGGTAAAAATAACATCCATATGATGATATGTACGTGTTGTCCTAAACCCCAAGCACGTGTTAAGTTACTCGGAACACCTTCGTTTATGTCCAGATAAAGCTGTGACCAATTATTAGGTCCTTGTGATGGAAACCTGACTTGATGTTCGTTAAGAATACCTGCGTTACAAAGACATCTGTCATCCACTTAAGTACCTGTTTCGCAAATTAATTAACACAATTCTTTTCTTTTTATCACGCTTTGAGCTTGATTTTACGAAGATGCATGTTAACAAATTTTAGCATGATACAAAAAAAACCTATTTTACATAGCATATTATTGAAAACCTCCTGTTCACCATGCACTATTGACAAGGCAAAATCTTATCTAGAATTTTAGATATACAGTGTAAAAACTTTCTCTATAATGCTAATATCATCGAAGACCCATACCAATATAAACCAGCGAAACAGCAATATCGGAGAAAAAAAAAGATTCTATGAATTTTAATCCACGTACTAAATTGTTAATGCAGCGTCTTTGTTTGCCAAAGGAGTGTTAAGAGAGGAATATGGTCCATGCATAACCATTCGTTAGTTAAGATGGACTACAGGAACACGGATGCAGTCATCAAAGACAACTGTTACAGATTCAGAAGTACAGTTGGAGCTACTATGGAAAAAAGGGTACACACTGACATACACAGGCGTGTGTTCTCCGCTAGGACTGCTTTTTAGTCACTTTTCGTCCAAGTACAATACAAGTAACACACTAAAAGCATTTAACTCAAACATGGTGACAAGTTGACAACTCTGCTGGACACATTCAATTACAAATGCCTGCAGCCTCCATATTCACTGATTGAAGAAAATATATCAAACCAACCAATATACCATAAAATTAGCATTCCTGTTCCCACAACGCAACACTGATTCTGGTGTCCACGAATATACATTACCTGTTTAAGAGACTATGGCATATAATAAAAAAAAAAATGCAAAATCAAATCAACTTATAAAATGTTGAGCTAAGCCACTAAAATGATGCGTGTTGAAGAGGCTGAAGTGTATGATCTAACCTATTGGGTACTTTATAGAAAGAAAAAACCCAGAATAAGATCAGGTGTTCCGGAAGGCTAAGCGTCTTTATAGTAAGTCTTTATCGGCGACATCCGAAATGTAAAAATTTGTCAAATCCCAGTCCATCGTGTCCTCTAAGCGAAAACCAAGTTAGTTACAACGAAACAAATACGTACACTGAGCATAATTGTAAAATCAGTGTAAAACAACGTTATACATGTACGTATGTTACATTTCCATGTATAAGATTTAGCAATATACAATTATGACCTTCGTTATCGAAGCTATGCCTTTTAAAGTAATAAACGTAAGCTTGTAATTGAGTCACACAGAGCACGGAGATATTGCTAAGTCCGTGTCAATCAAGTTAGATTGCTATCTAAGGGTCCGTACCAAGAGTAATCAATCATTATGGGCATGTTTTATTCTTATGATAAAATAACATATATATACAAAATGGAATAAATTATATACCCTATATACATGTTCGACTAAAAATTATGAAGCAACATATTTGCATGCACCCGGGTGTACACAATGTTTCGATGTAGATTATAAATATAAAATGCTGTAAAAATTCTCGTAAATAAAATTTGCATACAAATCTTCAGAAAATCAATGGAAACGGCGTCTTGATTTGGTTTGCCAAAAATAATCGGTATTTAGTACGTTGAGCAACAATGGAATTTAATGATATTAATAAATTGGGCCTATCAATTATGATACATGACGCACGGATTTAAAAAAAAAAAGATTATGACGCAACTAGAGGTGTAAACATTCTACAGCTTTCATGATCCATGCTTCGTATATCTTTCATGTTATTTAGTTTCAGCTCTTTGTTTTTGGAGGTAAGAAACTTCGAATCAGCGCGAAGGAAGAATGGCTTCCAAGGCGGTCGCGTCAAGATGGACAGCGGCAGAAGTTGAGCAATTTTGCTCAATCACAGGTCTCAAATCAGATCAAAAGATGCATTTTCACATATGTTAATTGATCCTGTTAAATCGAACACCAAATGTCTTTCCCGTTGTCTCGCTTTCTCTTAAGATGACTGTGAAATAAACAACGGAAGCAATGACCACTTTCGAAATATGACCCAAATCATAGATCGTTTGCTAGTTATTATTATCTCATTCGATTTATGCATCGATTATGTCCTTTTGTTAATAATTCGATCGTGATTTTTTTAAGAAGTATATCTAGCCAGATATCGGGGGGAATCATCTGATCATTCTGCATTGCATTCCCGATTTCGTTTTTTCAGTTTGCAAGACACTTTAATATGATTTTTAGTAATAGAAACCACAGAGACTTCATAATTTGTGAGAGCTTTATTTGCACCTAAACTAGGGTGTTCACAGTAATTTTACCCGCTTTAGGGATTTAGATAAACTTTCGTAAACATGCCAGTTGGTGATTCTAAATAGGGACCTTTCAGTCAAAAATTAATTTTAAATAGGCCAGAACATGTACATTGTACAATAAGCAAATGCCATCAATCCCATTTTTATATTGCATTTTGAATGATGTATTGTTGAAAGGGACAATGAGACAATAGTCTCATCAAAGGATCTTTGAGTGATTAACAATGATCAACAACTTAATTACATAGCATTCTGTTATTTTTATCAGTTTGTGAAAAACAATCTGGTTTCTACTTTACCTTCTGTTTTATTAATCGTTAACAAGCTACGTGATATTTTGGTGAAGGTGCTGATGAAAATGTGGCAGAGCGAATGTTGGAGGCTTGCAATGGGAACATTCAGCTTGCCATTGAGATGCATATGGATGGAGGAGAGATGTGTCATAGTGGACCCCAGCCATCGGGATCCTCATCTGGAGCTCCTGGGCACTCCTCCTCAACGCCTGTTGCAGACCAGGCAGTCGAGGAAGAGTAAGTATTACAACAAAAAAGCAAAGCACCATTGACATTTTCAAAAACAATTAATGGTGGTGGTTTGTTTGTTTGTTTGTTTGATTTTGTTTAACGTCCTATTAACAGCTAAGGTCATTTAACGACGGCCTCCCCTGTGTGCACGATGCATGCGTGTAGTGTATGTGTGTGTATTTTGGGAGGCTGCGATATGTTCGTGTTTGTCTCCTTGTGATAGCATGGAACTGATACCGACTTTATAGTGCTACCTCACTGAGACATACTGCCGAAGACCCCCAGCAGGACGCCCCACCCGGTCACATTATACTGACAACGGGCGAACCAGTCGTCCCACTCCTAATTTGCTGAGCGTTAAGCAGGAGTAGAAACTACCATTTTTAAAGACTTTGGTATGTCTCGGCCAGGGGACAGAACCCAAAACCTTCCTTATAGGGGCGAACGCTCAACAAATGGCCAAAAGTGAGGCATTGTCAAGGGAGACATTAGGAAGAAGAAAGTTATTTAGAACGGAGAGAAGAGATAAGGTCCCAAATTTAGTCGCCTCTTACGATCATGCAATTGGGGGCAGCAGGTACAATTCTTACGCCCTACCAATGGTGGTGGATGAAAAAACGGAAAATAAAAAATTCAACATCGGTCTCTTGCTATCATTTTATTGATGACTTCCAGCTGATGATTACTCGAGTCTAACATTACCATTTGCCTTAATCATGAGTATATTACGGATGCAATTTGCCCCTGATATTTTTTATGAATTTTTAAAATTTAATATTGTGATATTAAATATAGCAGTGATTTTGTCCTGGTTAGATGTTAAAATAAAATGTCACATAAATAAATGATGACAGCTGGAGATAATTAGGATTCTGCCCAGTTTTGTGATATAAAGTTAACTGTTACCTGGAGTAAATAGGTTAGGAATGTGGTAGAAACACCAAATTACCAATATTTCCACAAATGTCTATTCAATTCACTGCAAAGTCAATGTACAAGCCTTTCTAGGTTTAAGACAAAACAATATCACAGACTGGAAAATCATTTACTGTTTTGTACCAGCAGTAGGAAAGTCATAGACTGGCCCCCATCTCTAGGATATTGAATTATTAAGAAAAATTTAACTCCAATTTTTATCACTTGGATGTTTGTTTCCAGACTAGGGAAAGATAAGCTAGTAATAAAATGCAGTCGAGAAATTCTTCATAAAAACTTAGGGGCTGGTAGCCAGTCTATTGGAGTCATGTTGCAAAATCATTGCCTTTCTTTCAATATTAAGTTTTATGTGTCTGTTAAGTCTATGCATACATGCAGACTACTTTCACAATGTTGAAAATAAACTAATATGAAATACACAAATGTAAAAGAGCAAGAAATATTTAAGAGTACACAATTACACAGATACATGTCATTTGTTTTGTTAATTTATGAAATTTATTGTATCAATTTTATTCACAGGGACGTGAGAGCCCCAATCCCGCAAAGAAATGAAACACTTGTGGAGGAAACACCAGCTGGTTTTGGTAAATTTAGCTTCATTCTCTTGTAAAGTACTATTTATATACACTGATAACATACTGTAAGCCATAAGAATTACTTCATTATTTATAATAAAATAAAACCAGCAACAACCTTTTCCTAAGTATAACTGTTGATTGTTGATGTATAGGTCCTAACATTTTGTGCCTGAGTATCTGTCGTATTACTACTCTACTCCAAGGTTACATCAGAACTGTAAAGTATATAAAGTATATTCGACTACCTAATCACCTGGTCAGGGCCCTTTACGCTTCTGGATTGATACATGCATTATCAGACATGTCACACCTTTTTCATCAGTTATTTTTACCAGAAGGTAAATAAATTCAACAGCTTGGATATGAAGCCATTAATCTGTCAGGTGTATTACAAGAATTACTTGAACTGTCTGTGGCAGCTTTTGATTTAATGTCCAGTGTATTGTGTGTTCAGTTTATATATATGATATGGTGTCTGTGGTATCATTGTATGTACAAAATCTGTGGTGTCTTTATTCTCAGTGTATCACCCGATACATTGTATGTACAGGATCTGTGGTGTCTTTATTCTCAGTGTTTCACCCGATTCATTGTATGTACAGAATCTGTGGTGTCTTTATTCTCACTGTATCACCCGATACATTGTATGTACAGAAACTGTGGTGTCTTTATTCTCAGTGTATCCCCCGATACATTGTACATACAGAATCTGTAGTGTCTTTATTCTCAGTGTATCACCCGATACATTGTATGTACAGAATCTGTGGTGTCTTTATTCTCAGTGTATCACCAAATACATTGTACATACAGAATCTGTGGTGTCTTTATTCTCAGTGTGTCACCCGATACATTGTACATACAGAATCTGTAGTGTCTTTATTCTCAGTGTATCACCCGATACATTGTATGTAGTTTCTCAAGTGATTTTATTCTCAGAACTGTGTACACATTGTACATTTAGAGTCTGATGTATATACATATATAGTCCATTCTCCCTTACATTAAATGTATATTCTACATTTTACTTATAAAGCCTGATGTAGATATATAATATACAGACATTGTCCCCTACATTAAATGTGTATTCTACATTTTACTTATAAAGCCTGATGTAGATATATAATATACAGACATTGTCCCCTATATTAAATGTATATTCTACATTTTACTTATAAAACCTGATGTATATACATATATAGTCCATTCTCCCCTACATTAAATGTATATTCTACATTTTACTTATAAAGCCTGATGTAGATATATAATATACAGACATTGTCCCCTACATTAAATGTGTATTCTACATTTTACTTATAAAGCCTGATGTAGATATATAATATACAGACATTGTCCCCTACATTAAATGTATATACTACATTTTACTTATACAACCTGATGCAGATATATAATATACAGACATTGTCCCCTACATTAAATGTGTATTCTACATTTTACTTATAAAGCCTGATGTAGATATATAATATACAGACATTGTCCCCTATATTAAATGTATATTCTACATTTTACTTATAAAGCCTGATGTAGATATATAATATACAGACATTGTCCCCTATATTAAATGTATATTCTACATTTTACTTATAAAGCCTGATGTAGATATATAATATACAGACATTGTCCCCTACATTAAATGTGTATTCTACATTTTACTTATAAAGCCTGATGTAGATATATAATATACAGACATTGTCCCCTACATTAAATGTATATACTACATTTTACTTATAAAACCTGATGTAGATATATAATATACAGACATTGTCCCCTACATTAAATGTATATACTACATTTTACTTATAAAACCTGATGCAGATATATAATATACAGACATTGTCCCCTACATTAAATGTATATTCTGCATTTTACTTATAAAACCTGATGTATATAGATATATATTCCATTCTCCCCTACATTAAATGTATACTCTACATTTTACTTATAAAACCTGATGTAGATATATAATATACAGACATTCTCCCCTACATTAAATGTATATTCTACATTGTACTTATAAAACCTGATGTATATAGATATATAGTCCATTCTCCCCTACATTAAATGGATATTCTACATTTTACTTATAAAACCTGTTGTAGATATATAATATACAGACATTGTCGCCTACATTAAATGTATATTCTACATTTTAATTATAAAACCTGATGTAGATATATAATATACAGACATTGTCGCCTACATTAAATGTATATTCTACATTTGACTTATAAAACCTGATGTATATAGATATATAGTCCATTCTCCCCTACATTAAATGTATACTCTACATTTTACTTATAAAACCTGATGCAGATATATAATATACAGACATTGTCCCCTACATTAAATGTATAGTCTACATTTTACTTATAAAACCTGATGTACATATATAATATACAGACATTCTCCCCTACATTAAATGTATATTCTACATTATACTTATAAAACCTGATGTATATAGATATATAGTCCATTCTCCCCTACATTAAATGGATATTCTACATTTTACTTATAAAACCTGATGCATATAGATATATAGTCCATTCTCCCCTACATTAAATGGATATTCTACATTTTACTTATAAAACCTGTTGTATATAGATATATAGTCCATTCTCCCCTACATTAAATGGATATTCTACATTTTACTTATAAAACCTGTTGTAGATATATAATATACAGACATTGTCGCCTACATTAAATGTATATTCTACATTTTAATTATAAAACCTGATGTAGATATATAATATACAGACATTGTCGCCTACATTAAATGTATATTCTACATTTTAATTATAAAACCTGATGTAGATATATAATATACAGACATTCTCCCCTACATTAAATGTATATTCTACATTGTACTTATAAAACCTGATGTATATAGATATATATTCCATTCTCCCCTACATTAAATGTATATTCTACATTATACTTATAAAACCTGATGTAGATATATAATATACAGACATTGTCGCCTACATTAAATGTATATTCTACATTTTACTTATAAAACCTGATGTAGATATATAATATACAGACAATCTCCCCTCAGTGTAATCTGTATATATTGCAGGGCTGGCACACTTCAGTGGCCAGATGTCGGACGACGACCTAGGTTGGTTTGTCCCTCATCATTCGCTTCAATGTACTATTGGTGGTGTTCTGTGTTTTTGAATTAATAGCTGACTGTGCTGTAGTGAGATGTTCCTATTAGATACTGCATCATATATACAGTCACAGCTTCAGTGTATGCCAACACACTGCTTTGATAAAAATATTGTTCACTTTGATCTGATGGTATATTTACATTAGTGTATTAAAAATAGATAGATTAAACTTGAAATAGTGAATACCATTTACATGTTCATTTATCATATATACGTTAATTATCAATAAATCAATCAGAGTTTCATATTTCAGATATTAAAGTGTATGCATGTACTTATTATTAACCTTTGAAATTGTTTGTGGCAAACTAGAATTAAAATATCTTTAAAAAGGTTTTACAGGGACCCTTAAATGGCAAAATACATGTTATAGCTTAGAAATCGTGGCTTGACCCTGAAAGGAATTGATTAAATTTAAGTTAAAATAATATTCTGCTGATTTTAAAAGTGAACCATGAGCAGAGGGTGAAAAAATCATTCAAATATAACTTTTTTTTATATAAGGACCTTGTGACTATGTATGCATTGGATGTTCCAAGTTTGTGTTTTTTCTCTCTAAAATACTCCCAGTATTTGATTTTAAATGATATTTCATTTTGCAATTGATTGAGGATAAACTTATACAGTGTCAAGTAGTAGGATTCAAATACATTCAACAATGATATCATTTGATTTATTGAATTGTTTACACATATATGGAAGTTGTTCCTTTTCAACAAGAAATACCTTGTTTTTACAAGTAGAAAAAAACAAAATTGAAACCCTATACAAATGGACACAAAATATTTTGGAAATTCTTTTGATTTTAATTGTGTATAACTATTATAATGATTAATTCCAAAAATAAAGGCAACTGTAATACATTTATGTATTATATTACCGTTCAATATCTTCAATATGCAACATCTTGCCTTGCTGGTATGCAGATTGATAAAAAAGTAGACTCTCTGTTGTTATGAACAAATAAAACTGAAGTTTTCGCATTGACACACATTTAAATGTCTAGTTTTGCTGAAACATATATCCAGAGTTGCTTTCACTTACCCTAAACGATAAAGCTGGTGTTCATGTCTGTAGTTTGGAGCTCTGTCTGCTTACCCTATACGCAGAGCGCTGTCTGCTTACCCTGTACAGTTTATAACCTCCTTTCTCTGTGTATAGAATTTATAGATACTGGTATAGTGACATAGCATGACCCGACAACCTGTTGTAGGTATATATATATTTGTGTCTGTCCTGCCTTTCAAGATTTGCATGTAATCATTGCAATTGGTGTTTCTTAAACATACAAAATGTATAGTGCATTAGCACTCTGTAGTGTCAGGGGTGTACACATACTATATTTAGAGTACTAGCCTGCAGGCAGGTTTTGAAAAATTCTACTAGCCCAACTTGTTTTTTCATTAGATTTTGAAAACATTTCACCAGCCCTGATACAAAACTTAACTAGCCCAGAGTATCGGGATAGTGGAACTGTACACTCCTGACCATAAATAATAATATAAACTATATATCCTACATGAAAGTTACTATTTTTCAATTATGTTTGCATTGAAACTTGGTGTCTGGTAAGTAAACAATTATTTCAATCATTTGTTTACTTTTTAAAGTCATCTATAAAAGTTTGAAGTAAAAGCAAACACATGGTGACGCTTTAAGCATGCTTAAGGTATATAATGTCATTAGTTCTATTTTCATACACACCTTCTGGTTACAGAACATTATAATAACTAATTTTGTATTATACTTCGTCTATGGGAAAAAATCTCTGCATAATATGATTTTGAGGATAGATAAAGTTTTATATAAAAAAAAAATATCTATTTATTATCAATTATCATTTGATGAAAATTTATCTCTGTTAAAAAACAAAAAGCATCAATCTAAAATAGATGGTCTTGGATTTTGTGTGGTTGTATAGTACTGTCTGCAGGATTACACCACCCTGTGTTGTTTCCTTAGTTTTCCAGTGATACAAGACCAAATGATGTTTAACATTTCCTGCTACTGTTCATATGTTATTTATTGTTAACCATTGTTATTATAAGGTCTCTGTTGCTTCACACATGTACTTGTAATTGAATGTTCTAAAACCATTCATCGAACCTGTCATTTTAGGGTTCCATGGAAGAAGGAGAAAGGCTAGATCTGTGTTTGATGGATTTCGAGACTTTCAGGCTGAAGCTAGTAAGTGATGGCTCATAGTAGAGTAATAATATCTTCATCGATTTTTAGAAAATACTATATTTGAATAACATGTCCATTTCTGTGTGTGTGATTACATGTATATATTTTAGGTATAATTTATCTAAAATAAAAATTGATTGATAAAATTCCCTTACCTGCGTGTGTTCCAGTATCACTGATCTATCTACCAGGTATGATTATAAGACTCTTTCATGCCCGAGAGGTTTTCAAATTGGGTAAAACCAAAGCTTGCCAAGGGTTTTGCACCCGTTTGAAAATCCCAGGGTTGGATTTCCCTATCTTACACTTCTGGACATGAAAGAGTATTTTTCTCTCATTCCAATCACCAGAATTAAATCAGAAACCACAAAAACATGTCTCAGTTTCTGCCTTTGTTGATATTACGTTATTGTCGTCCCATTGTGGCTTCCCACATGTGAAATGGGGTGTAAGATTAAATTTCTTAGTGAAATGGGGTGTAAGATTGAATTTCTTAGTGAAATGGGGTGTAAGATAGAACTTCTTATACTCCTTTCTTACCCTGGACAGTTCTGTCGTACACACGCAGGAGTGAGAGAAAAACTTTGTTGATAACATTTATCTTTTACCTTAATGTGTTTCATCTCCAGGGCAACAGGAGGAAATGATGTCAGCTGGGGCCTCTACATTCCAATCAAAGCGACAGACCCTAGAGGACTTGTTCCGTCCACCCATAGACGTGATGTACAAAGGAAGCTTTGCTAGTGTGAGTCTACCTAAGGAGATATTTTTCGTATTGCATAGAAGTCAGATTTTTCAAAAAAAAAATATAGGGCTATTGATATAACAGTAGTAAAACTTTTGTATGCTATACAAACTTTGACCAAAGGAACAGACCTACAGTTAAGAAGTGATTGTGAGACAGAGGAGACAGAGGATGTCTCCTTATTGTTTCAAGAAGACTTGCACCAAAGCTTTTCCAAGCCTGCAATTCTCTATGCAGTTCCTGTAAAATGTAGATTCCACCTTTGTTTAAATTGTAGGCCTACAGGAAGTTCGGAGTAGGAATGAAATGGATATTATATTTATTTTACACCAACTATCAATTGTACTTGTATACAAGAACTTTCTCACGGTCAATCATGATAATAATACAATATATTTCCAAATATACTGTATGTACATCTTTATTCATACAACGTTGGGGTAAATGTCATTAGTGTCCTGGGCCAACAGATTACTGCTGCTGTGTCTTTGTCTCCCTATCAGAGGAACACTGTACACATATCAGGAGTGTCCTGGACAGACAGACTGCTGATATAGTGTTATAATTTTCTCCCTATTAGTAGAGAACCATCATACTTCTGATACAATGTCTTTCTCCCTGTTGGAGTAGAACTGAACACTTGCCGGCATGTGCCATGCCAACAGACTCCTGGTGCAGTGTCTGTGTTACCCTTTTGAGAGGATTACTGTGTATATACTTGTAAATTGGTGTTTTACAGGCTCGAGAGCACGGTAAAACCTGCCAGAAATGGTTGATGGTGAATATACAGAATGTTCAGGAGTTCGCATGTCAGGCCCTCAATCGTGACGTGTGGAGCAACAACAGTGTGAAAAGTATCATCAAGTCAAAGTTCATCTTCTGGCAGGTAAGAGTAGACAACCTGGGGCACGGTAGTCTAGTGGTAGGATGCCGGGCTACAGGAGGCACGGTAGTCCAGTGGTAGGGCGCCGGGCTTGTGACCGAAGGGTTGTGAGGCACGGTAGTCTAGTGGTAGGGCGCCGGGCTACAGGAGGCACGGTAGTCTAGTGGTAGGATGCCGAGCTACAGGAGGCACGGTAGGCTAGTGGTAGGGCGCCGGGCTTGTGACCGAAGGGTTGCGAGGCACGGTGGTCTAGTGGTAGGGCGCCAGGCTTGTGACCAAAGGGTTGTAAGGCACGGTAGTCTAGTGGTAGGGCGCCGGGCTTGTGACCGAAGGGTTGTGAGGCACAGTAGTCTAGTGGTAGGGTGCCAGGCTTGTGACCGAAGGGTTGTGGGTACGAGTCACGCCACTGCACAGTGTTTTATCTTTGAGCAAGATGCTTTACTCCGCTTGTTTCAGTCTACCCAGCTGGTAAATGAGTACATGGTTGGGCAGTGCTAGATTTGTTGAATGCTAGCTGTGGGCGCCGAAATGGCAGCACCGGCTGTATGCTCCCCAGGGAGCTGAGAAAGATATTGGCTGGTTGCAAAGGCCCTATAACCACGTATAATAATTTGTGAACCGCTTTGAGACGACCTATGAACTAGGTTGTGATAAAGCGTTATATAAGAACCTCAAATTATTATTATTATTACAATAAAAATTTATTAATGCTATCTCATTTATCTTACCCAACTCACTCAATTAAAAATATGAAAAGAGCTGGTGAAATTTTGTTTGAGTATATAGGTATCACTTCAGGAAAGTTTATGAGAATCATCATTTTTAAAAGCAACGTTTTAGAATTATCACCTGAAATACAGCAATATCATTTCGAGCACAAAATAGCTTCATCATTGTGATGAAGTGTAATTAACAGAGAATCATATTGGTTGCATGTTGGGAAAGGACAAGGTTGTATGGGATGTGGTTTGCTCTTAGCACCAGGACTTCTCAAAATTCTGAAATAAAATGTTAAGCAAACAGTTTTTTCAATTGAAGACATAGACAACATTATTCATCAATAACAATGGTAATGATATGTTAAAGCAACTAGATTGGTGTCAAACAAGGTGGTGCCAAAAATATGGATTTGCTCAAATTTAAATTTTACATTATTGAATCATTATTGTATTGTTTTTCGGGAGTTATCTCCCTTCATCAACCTCATTTTGAATACATGAATCTTGTCATTTCTTTCCATAACGGTATAGATTTAATGTTGTACTACCTTTCAATGTAAATAATCACTATATACCCTCCTCTGTGATAACTGAAGAGTTTAATGTCATGTCTTCTCCAGGTTTACCACGACAGTGATGAAGGGGGCAAATACACTCAGTTCTACAAAGTGAAAAACTGGCCATATGTCTCCATCATTGATCCACGTACAGGTGCAGTGTAATTTATCATGATACACAATTACCGTAGAAGCTGTATGCCTGACAGAATCATTTACACTTCACAGGGGAACTTATTGGCATAATGTTTCCAGATGTTGTATAATCCTGCAAATTACAGACATCATAATCATATCAAGAGGTTGTTAAAAAGCTAAATATAAATTGTTCTTTGTAACATACTCTACTTTATAGTAGGTTATTTAAATGGGTATTAAAGTTTAACAAATGTACACTTAGAACTTATTTTTTAGGTTTTAATTCCTGAAATCACAGGTAGAAAGAATTGTTACACAACAAAGTGGGGTTTTTTTTTGGGGNGGGGGTGGGACGGAAGTTTTCTTCGAAACTTTTTGTGTAGTGGCCACAACATGCAGAGGTGCCAACCCTTACCCTTTTGGCCTAATCCCTAAGATTTTAACATATAAAATACGCTTTTCAATTTTGCCTGTATGATTTTGTCTTATTTCTGCCGATTCCAGAAATTTCTGCCTGTTTTTGCATCGTTTTATTTTAATATCCTGATTGCATTCCTCTCGGTGTTTTGTATAAGCCTAGAAACTGAAGCGTATATGTGACTGTGATCACATTTTCTCTTTCTTTAGCAAGAAATGGCAGGAAATTGTGCTCTTGAAGAGAGATAAAATTGATAGTTCAGGTAATCCACCCCAAAAAATCAAAAAGCAATGGGATCAAAAAATTGAATCCAGAATACAGAGAATGACATTTCCATTGTTATTATACAGTATACAGAGGTATACACGTATATTGTATAATACTTTATCCGTTTCTCATACTTTTGTTCCCAAATTGTAAGATATTTGTGAGGTACTTGAATTCACAAATTGTTACACATTTGTAAAACATGTGAATTTAAATCCCTCTCAGCTACTTGTATAAGAATTATACAGTGTACTTGGCTACTTCTGTTGCTATGTAACATAGAAAATGTATGTAGTACGATACACTGTTGACATGAAGCTTCAGTGATTTTTATTTTTTTGATAATACCTGTACCTTTATATATATACAACACTTAGGATCAGCTGCAGACAATGATTACATTACTTTTACTTGTTTTTATCAGGAGAAAATATGGTAACCTGGGATAAATTGGATCCCATGATATTTTGTGAACTAGGTAAGTGTATAATGTGTTGGTTCATCCTGCTGACATTCCACTGTTAACTCAGTCACCCCTGAAATTTTATAATGAACTATTCCAACCTTTGAATGGGAAGAGTCCAAATGTGTCTTCAGGGGTGAATAAGTTAACACACATACATTCTAAAACAAGTTTTCTGTTATTGTGTACTACCGATATGTCCTGTTCCACTCAATATTGTCATCAAAATCCACATTAATTCTATTCCAAGTACCATTGTCAGCCAATTCCAACTACAAAGTCAGTTAAACCTCGTTGTGTTGAGGATCATAATTTTTAAAGTACATTTTTTTATTGAATACATCTGAGTCAAAATACATAGCAAAACTGGTCACAAAACCAAAAAAGAGCTAAAATATCTGACTGAAGATTGGCTAGATTTAAAATATTTATTGTTCTCTAAGTAAAATCATTTTGTTTATCACAGCCAACGAGTTTCTGGCAGACAACCCATACTGTGGAAGTGACAGTGAAACCAGTCCGTCTCCTGCCAAAAGGCCCAGGGTAGGTAAAGGAACACGTCTATATAGTTAAAGTCATGATTTAGCTTTAAAAATGTCTAATCTACTGGCCCGTCTTTCCAGTCAGCATTTATGCAGTGTCAGTTGTCACACTTTAAATCAAGCAACCAGTAATTTAGGAGTCCCACTAACAAGCCACCGCTAATCTGGTGGTCCCACTTACATGCCACCGCTAATCTAGTGGTCCCACTTACATGCAACCGCTAATATGGTGGTCCCACTAACGAGCCACCACTAATCTGGTGGTCCCACTTACATGCCACCGCTAATCTGGTGGTCACATTTACATGCCACCGCTAATCTGGTGGTCCCACTAACGAGCCACCACTAATCTGGTGGTCCCACTACCGAGCCACCACTAATCTGGTGGTCCCACAAACATGCCACCACTAATCTGGTGGTCCCACTAACATGCCACCACTAATCTGGTGGTCCCGCTATCAAGCCACCACTAATTTGGTGGTCCCACTAACGAGCCACCTGACCACTAATCTAGTGGTCCCACTACCGAGCCACCACTAATCTAGTGGTCCCACTATCAAGCCCCCACTAATCTGGTGGTCCCTCTAACGAGGCAACACTAATCTGGTGATCCCACTATAAAGCCCCCACTAATCTGGTGGTTCCTCTAACGAGGCAACACTAATCTTGTGGTCCCACTATCAAGCCCCCACTAATCTGGTGGTCCCTCTAACGAGCCACCACTAATCTGGTGGTCCCTGGATCACACCGCATATCCAGCTACTACTAAGTCTTTATGCAATTGCTCCATTGGGTAAAGATTGGACCTTTTATGTACAAATTTGTTCCAATAGTTTAGCTGTCTCACAACCAGTCACTTTTGCTTGAAACAAAGCTTGCTAGATTATTGAGGCTTTAGTTTATTTACAGATACATTGTATAATATTTGAAATGAATAATGTATCAAGACACAATTAAATAACTAATATTGAACGATAACTTTTTTGATCAGGTGGCAAGTATTGTAGATGCTAGTGAAGATTCTCAACTACAAGCAGCTATCAAAGCCTCTTTGACCAAGTCTACCTCATCCAACCCGGTCATCATCGACTCCGAATCCGACCTGGACAGTGACAATGATCTCGAGACCTTCACAGACTCTGAAGATGAGGCTGAGTCATCTACAAACTACTCTCCAGTAAAATGTGAATCTAAACAAAACAATACAGACAGTGTTGTGAAATCATCAAATACTGATAATACTTCAGGGGAACAGATGTCGGAGGAAAAGGCCACAGATCTCTCAGATGATGCCTCTCAAGACAGTGACAGTAAAGAGGAAAACACCAAAAGTGCTGACACCGATCTCAACTCTGAAAAATACAAGTCTTTTCTCGGAAAGGATGACGGTACGAAAGCTTAGTTACTCTATACAGATATAAGTATACATATATCTAACTTCTAAATACCACATCATTTTCCTGTTTGTCTGATCTCACGGAATGGTCACAAGTATTGATACTTTTTTCACTGAACTTTCCATACTTACCATAAACTGAAATTTGCTTTTATCTTTTAGATCCACAAACGTCTCTGATGATCAGATTTCCTGATGGCAAACGACAACAGTGGCTCACTTCTTGTAATTCTAAACTCATGGTAAGTTGCCTTGATGTGTTCAGTAGGTAGTAGGAAAGAAATGTTTCCATTCCACACTAATATTATCATGGAACTGGATGTACAGATCAAACAAGGAAATAAAAAGTTTGTAATTTCGGTATATTAATATGAATTATAATTACTGGGTACATTTAACACTACTATATGAATTGAAACTTTCATTGTGGATTGCCTTTTCTCAATGACAGTGAAATAGCAAATATTATTTAAACAAACATGAAAACAGCTTGACTGTATCATGATTAGACATATTATTAGACAACGAAAGTTTGTATCATCAAATTGGATTGTAGATTTATGTAAAACTAATCAAGAAAGCTTTCATAAATGTTTCGTGTTATATGCTGTGATGTGATTTATTCTCTTTTCAGGTAAATTTTTATCAATTGACCCCAGATTTAAAATTTAAAAAAAATGTTCGGAACTTAAAAAAAAACTTTTTTTCTTCCTTCACTTTTATTTCCACCCTTTGTTTGAATCAACAGTCATATTCTATTTTCTGTTTACAGTATGCTGAAGATGAATATTTTTTTCTCTCCATTTTACAGGCATTAGTGTTGTATGTCGGATCTCAAGGTTATCCAAACGAACGCTTCGAGCTGGTCACAAACTTTCCTAAAAGGAAGCTATCATACATGGATTTTGACATCACTGTGAAAGACGCTGGTTTGCATCCTCAGGAATCTATATTTGTACAGGCTAGATGATGCAGCATTTTCTAAAACATAGTTGACTGGGCCAGATTATACAGTCGATACATTGGCGACAGGATGGAATCATTCCGCCTATTCTGATACACTGGTGGCCGGACCAGATCATTCAGCCGTTTCTGACACACTGGTGGCCGGACCAGATCATTCAATCTATCTGGATATACTAGTGACAGCTTCAGGCTAGGCAATACAAACTAGATCTACTGATGGAAATATTGTAGCATGCTGTGTGAATAGGGCAACCATTAGCTTGAATGACAAAGTGAAAATACTTTTGTTTTGTCACTGGAAAGTAAGAGTTCATATGTGTAACAGAAAGGCTGGACTTAGTTGTATTGGTCAAAAGAATGGATTCTCTGAATACATATTGGTCAAAGAAACAAAATAGGATTTAAGTGATAGTTATCAGAGGAAAAAATACTGCTCAACTGGAAACTTTTGCCCTCATGCAGGGACGTATAATATATTGTCCCTGTTTCATGTTTAATTTTTTTTGTTGTCCTTTAACAAGAGAGTGAAATTTAAATATGTAGAAGAAATGTAAGGTGCTACCAGAGTGTAAATTTGCAGTTGGAGGGCTAATTAACACAAGGTGATTCAACACAATTTGAAAGGTGAAATAAGAAACATTTTAGTTAAACACAATGTACATTAATTGAATGAAAGAGAAGTTGCAAGTGGACAGTATTTTGTTTGAAAGTGAACTACAACTTGATCCCATGTGAAAAATAAAGCTGAGCTACCTGTGGGTGTGTGTACACATGCTATTCCACGGGATAGAATGTCATAGACAAAATACAGGTGTAGTGAAACCAGGTAGCAACTAAAGTATTTGAATACAAAATGGAAACATCCCAATATACAATGTACTCGGTATTTAACTCGGAATAAAGTCCAGACAATTGAAGTACCGTTGTTTATCACATTAGTTCAGCAGATCAGGGCATAGTGTAAAGATAAATGCTAGGCTGTTTGCACAACAACAGATGTTTTTTGATAATTTAATAATTTGTATCGGAGAGTATTTTGAGGAACGAATCGGTATGAATCACCTGCCATTACAAAGGGATGAGTCGTAGATGTCATTGTTGCTGGTACTATTCTTTTTCCTTTTTGATGAGATTTTTTGGTTATTACTGTAAATTTCATTTCCTTACAAATATTGTTGTTAAGACAACATGGACTAGTGTATCCGTGTGAAACGTGCTGGTGTGTGTCCACTATCATGTATCTTTGAAATCCAAGGATTCTGCTCTCGATACTCACATCTATCTTCTCTGCATCCTTGGAATACGGCATGACATAATCAAAGTTTGGCTTCATACAATTTGCCTCGGGTATTAACTCATTCACTCCTAAAGACACATTTGAACTCTTCCAATTCAAAGGTTGGAATAGTTTATGAAATTTCAGGGGTGAATGAGTTGAAAAAACCCATGAAAAATTGCTAGACTGATACCTGTCTTTTTAAGATTACAGAGGAGGCAGGCTTGCACTGTATATGGAAATAGTTGTTTCCTTAATAATTCCAAATTTGCATGAAAACCTTGAAATTCTCAATTTATTTACGTCATGTCACGCATACATAAGGAATATCGAGTCTCTATGATACATGATTACTTCATTATTTTTGTTTGTACCTTTACCGTCGATAGCACACTCACAAAATGCCTTCATGATAAAAAGGACAACATCAGGATACTTGCACAATGATTGTTTTCGTTTCTTTATTTGCTCAAGATTTACAACTTATGACATTTATGTATATGTCCATTTAATAGCCAGTTACATCCAGTGATATCCAGGTGTTTGTAAAATCATATTTGAATCAAAAGATGAGTTACTTGTGTTGATTAGTATCGTAATTTAAGATTATATTTAGAACTTGTTTAAGCTTGTGGTTGCATTCTGAACAGTTTATTGAAGATCCAGTACGGCCAGGCAGGTTATTACTGTACCAGAAGTGCCTTACCTGGCCAGCTACAAGTACCAATGGTGGACAAGCACAGATCAGTCAGTGCCTTACCTGGCCAGCTAAGAGTACCAATGGTGGACAAGCACAGACCAGTCAGTGCCTTAACATCTTACATGGTTTCTTATTGCATCAGCACAAACATAATCGATGCATACATATCAATATCTACGATAAGATTTCTGATTTCGCCATACAGTATGCCAAATATTGAGAGATTATTGTAAATATTCTGTAACCTATGAAAGTACTGCTGTATTAGTATTTGTTGTCATAGAATGTTCCTTAAAATGACGATTTTGTTGGTTTTTAGTTTCGTCTCTCTCCAAATAATTAGTTTTACATCCCTTCAAAATTTGTTTATTTCTTGATTTGTAGAGTGAATTTTAATATTGGAAACATGCTGAGATTTTGGATCCACTTAGGAGAAAGTTTTGTTTCTCTTATACATTGTATATAAAATATTGGTTTAGGCCGTATGTGAAATTGTTGTAAATGAAAATTATGAGTGAGTAAAATTTTTCATTACAATATCTAAACAACTGCTCTCTGTTAAAATAACAACGATAACCATCACAATATCTAAAACACATGTTTACTGTGTAGAGAAAACTTTGAAAAGAAAAGTTACACTTTGCATCAGGTGCTTGTAGTTATATTACAACATATATACTTCAAGGATGAATTCATCGAAAAGTTAATTTATTTGCACAACTAATAGCTCAACTACCTAATATGCTAATGTTGCATTTTGTGAATTTAAATATTGGCAAGTCATTTGAAGCATAGTTTTGAAACAGTATTCAAAGCAATTCTGCATACAAATATTAACTGATTGACAGTTTAACATGTTAACATGTTACAGAAGAAAATATTATGTACAAAGATCGCTGTATTAGTTTTTGTATAACAGTTACTATAATATATTTAATTTGACTTGTCCGATTTTAAAGGGTTACTTTATGTGTTTCCTGCCTAAAAATTCAAGAAAGAAACTAAATTGTCTGCCACATGTTTTTTGTTTGTTATTCAGAACATTAACATTGTGATGAACTCAATATTATTTTCGTTTAATATGAGACTTGTAGAATTCGACCAGATCTATAGATAGTGGCAGTATTGGTCTTGTGTGATATGGAAAATTATATCTGCTCCTACATAGCACTATGCATTGCTTAACTTCGAAGCTTATGAGAAAAACAGTATCGTTTTTGTATACCTTAAGATTTTTAACATACAGTCTTTATATGGTAAACAATTCCAGCATCTGTGTAACCGTTTTATAATTAGTAGTATTTTTCTTTACTTTCTGGCATATTTGATATCAAAGATCAAGATTTAAGGTACAAGCATCTCTCAGGTTTCTAGTGTATGACCACCTAACCCTGACAACGTTTTACTTTCCACCTGTGTCAGCGTTGGTGTTAGGCTGCACTCTGAATCGATTCAGTTCTGCTGTATTTATTAGTTGCAGTGTTGGTATATTTTTACAGATAGTTTACATGAATCACCATTCATATGGAATGCCAAATTAACATATATTCAATTAACTCTTATCAATTAAAGATATGTTGTATTTGTACCTATGTTCAATTAATTTTTACCTTGGTTCAATTCAATTGGAGATAGGCACAAATAATTGTACTCATTTTAAATCATTTGAAGATAGGTACAATTAATTGAACATATGTTAATTTGGCATTCCATACATTCACAGCATTATTTGTCAAAATGTATAAATTCAATGGATACTGATCATGATTTTGCATTATTGTACATTAATTTGGTTTTAAACGAAACATACTAATCATGATTGCCAGAGACGTACTAGTCTAAGCAGTGTAATAAAAGCTCAACAGAAGCCATTAAAATGTTTAGTACGAGTACAGCTAAGGGAAACAACTGCGTCAGGCTCTGGGTAGAATGGCGACTTGAGTTACCATATGATGGATGTATTATTTTGTCATGTACATAGTACAAATAGTGTGATGAATTATGTCCTGAAAATTGGTATAGGTGATCTGAAAAAAATAATTACAGGAACATCGTTTATAATTACCTTAGTTAGACTTAGGTAACACGTAATTCCTCTAAATAATATTTGTGTGAAACAACTTCACATGTGGATGTTTCAAGAAAACTTTGGACTGAGTTCCCCCATTAGTATATTGTAATGGAAATGGCTAGATTAACTTTTGGTGTTACAGAAACAAATGGCAGACTGGCATACATGTAAGATGCATTGTCATGACAAGGACACGCTTGACCCATAATACACTTGGAGGGATAGCTGCCAGATCAGTATTACCTACCACAGTGTAAATACGATGTTGCCCAGATCATTCACAGATGTATATACTTGTACAGACGAGTTTATATGATTGATAATAAGTGCTATATATCCTATTGGATATTTATTTTGTAAAGCTATTCTGAAAAAAGAATTTTGCTCACGAGCTTACATTTTGGAATACAAACAAGATTTTTATTATTGATGTGTTTCTTATTTGTTTGTGATCTTACATATAATTACACGCCAAGCGACGGCGTTTTGTAAAAGCTTATGGTGTGTATGTGCTATTTCATGCAGTATTCATGAAATCGTTCTCATTCTTGAACTCAGATTGTGTGCCCAGTACTAATTTCGGTTCAATGAAAGATTGATAAAAGGCAAATTTTGACAATTATTCAGAAGAATCTTGGAGACGGACGGAATACGGTTTTTAATGATTACGCTTGACTTTTTGATAGTGTCACATGATTACGCTTGACTTTTTGATAGTGTCACATGATTTAAGCGTCTTAAAAGAGTATCGGTATGAGCACAGAATCCAAGATTAAGCATGCGAATAGTTTCATGAAGACTGACCCAGGTTCCACGGACAGTAACTCTGACTTAACGACATCTTGTTCTTTATATTTTTTTTCTCTCAGCTTACTTGATTCCTAGCGTCTTCCTGACACTTGGCAATACCTTACTTTGCACGTCCACTCCGTAGGCTTGGACATATCCAAGTCTGTGAAAGTATTAGATTCCCTGCTAAACGTGCAACATGTAGACTTAATTATCACAGCAACGCTTCAACCCGTTGTTGACCAGGTGGAATACTGTGCTGGGTGTTTGGTATTTCAGTGAGGTAGCACTCTTCAAGTCAGCGTCAGATTTACGGTATCACAAGGAGGCAAAAATACACAAACATATGCCACCTCCAGCACACATACACACGTACACACATTGACGCGTACACACATTGACGCACGTCGTGAAAATAACGAGCTGTTCATATAATGCCAAACCCAATAAAACTAAAGCGAACCACATGATCCTTTCCAACAAAGTCAGTTTTCAGTATGTTTTGTCCCTCTAACATGTAGTGATATGGCGGTATGGTGAAGTAAACACGGTTATTTAGGTTTCCCTATCGACAGCCTACATATTCAAACAGGCGAGTTGTTCTTCGTATCTCTGGTGACTATCTTACGTCACAAGTCGGTTTACGCTATTGGTAGACTATCGGACCCGAAGTTGACCGTTACCTTCTAATTGAATATTATGGTCCACTAAAAACTGTATTGTACCAAAAAGCTGTTAATCTGTAAATTTATAAAGGGGTTTATAAGCACCCTCTCCCGCAATGCTGTTTTAGACATAATTTTGGAGTGTATACGAAGCGAACACTTGGCTAGCGAAGATGGGAACGCTTTAGCTATTGAGTTTAATGCGTTTTCACCTGTAGAACCACTTAAGTGTCGTAAATAGATAAACTAGCCAGTTGGTGCAGTAAATATGTTTACTTTGTCCGGCTTTATAATCGCCGTACACACTTTTTAAGTGCTTCTTCCTTCGTATTTCAAGTGAATATGTTGATACAATGCTATGATGGAGGTTGGAAATAAACGTCTTGAAACTGTAATGATGTTTTCTGTACTCTCACCAACGACAGTCCCACGAACTTCAAGTTACTGCAAATAGCTTGAATTTTGCGTATACGTATGACGTATTGCTCTCCCAATGACATTACTTGCGAAGATATGAATTCACAAAAAGGACGAATATACGCTAAATGGTTTGATAGCGATCGTAGCCACATGAAAAAGGCATCTCGCTTATTTCACTTTATCAGTTGGAGTCCTGCATATTTATGGTAAATATTTCGGTAACTTGCATATTGTATCAAAATTTAGCACGTTTGCTACTTAATATTTCTGATTTATGGTAAATTATCTTATTGGGTTAAAAGTGTGTATTATCTCCTAATCGGACGCTTTCTACAAGGTGAACGTACATCCAAATTTGGTAATAGATACAGTATGAAAAAATTAAACGTTATGCCTTTAGGAGTGATCTGGCTAATGCAATCTTCCAGTGTCTCGCCAGTATACCAAGGGGAGACTACCGTGCACCAATGAATAGCGCGATTACAACTTCGAAGAATTGTAAAAGACAGATCACACTATATACATCGTATATGTGATTCCTGACAATAGTGACAGAATTTATTGAATGACCCTCGTATATAAAGACTAATTGCATCTGGCTCAGTATTGAGTTTCGATATACGATGGTACTCGAATGATTCAATGAGAATGTCATTGTGAGCATGGATGATTACGTATACAGCTGATTTTTAAAGACAAGTACAGCTTCCAATATTGAAATAAATAACGAATAAACACTGTCTGACATATATGTTGTCAGCACAACTCATAAAGGAAAAAAGTAAAATAATTACAAACGTGGATATTATCATTAACCATCAACCAAATATGTACGTCTTGTTCGATTTAGGTATCATAGAAAAGGATGTTTAAACAACTTTAAAGTTGAATAATTTAAAAGCGGTATCAGAAAGAAAGAAAAAATCATTACACTTTTTTAAGTTTTCAGTTCCCATTTCTTTTACATGTGCTGCTGTAATACTGGTCTACAGTATGAAAAGGTTACCTGTCGTCTGTCCTATCCAAGGATGAAAACGATAATACTCTTGAAACATAAAAACAGCCAGGAGTGCTGGTTTATAACATATATTAATTCAGTCAGAAATGTTACAAAGCGTTTTGATTATGATATTCAAAATCAATTTTGTCACAATATAGATCAATGAAATATAAGTAATTTGATATATAAAATGGCCATGCACAGGACACATTTGCTTCTAAAGCTTTTTACCTATTTAAAGTCTACTGGAGGTTCATTTTACTCAACGAATTGCACCAACTAAACACATGAGGATTCGGACAGTGTTTTCTACAATATTCATATTAGCCTGCATGATTCAGGGTATTACATATGTCTGTACGAATTCGCTAATCAGTCTTCCTTTCCAAGATATGTGATGTCCTCATTATGTAGGCGACAGTGTACCTGTGACCTGGTCAAGGAAGCTGGAAGAACACAATATTGTGGTTCCAATCAAGGGAAGACGATTATCACAACGCAAACAGATGTTGTCATATATACTATTTTAATGAATGAAGATTTCTCCAATGTTCACTGATAAAACATGATACAGCTATATATATATGGTAATGTTTACAAACATAATCTTCAATGTTAAGACATGGCGATCAATATATGGTCACATTGACATAAAAATCAACTATGTGAGGACACTGTAAAGCTATATATAGTTACGTCACAGACACTTTTTTTATCAATGTTAAAACGTGATAGCAATATATGGTAACATTCGCAAATACATCTCCAATGTTTGGTTCACAGATGTATCTCAAGGTGATAGGACATGATACAACAATATATGGTAACGTTCACAAAATACGACATCAATGTAAATACCTGATACATCAATATGTGGTAACGCTCCCCTTTACATCACCACTGTTACAATAATCCTCGAAATCCAAGGGTTAACGTACACTCCCTGCACCCCTGGACTATGTCATGTCAAATTGAAGGCTAGCGGTAAGCTTATATATTGGTTTCAGTTATAAAACCTTAACCAATCCCATGGCTGATATCTGTCCTTTGAAGATTACAGAGGAACGACATTCGACTTCAAAGATTGTCGATTTTACCGTAACGCTGCCGCGCGATTCTTTAGTGAATAGTGGTGTAATCGAAAGGATCAAACTGATCTACTTATTAGCAAGGTGGTGAATACAAAACCTTCAATTTCGTCTTGACATATTCCAAGGGTGAAGAGAAAGTAAGAGAGCGTGACCCCTGGAATTTGGAGGACTTGTTAAGGTATAATTCAGGAATATAATTATTAACGTTCACGAATACAACGCCTATCGTTCACAAGCGATATACAGGTAGCTGACAGGTCACAATACAATGACGGTAAAACTTTTACAAAACACGTACATAAATGAGGGTTAATTACAATGAATCAACCACATTATTGTCAACATAAGCATACTACATTATCGTACGACTTGATTCCACAGTGAACACATGTTGCTTTATTTTATAATTTATGCTAATGACACGATATTGTTGTTTGACAGCACTTTAAACAGTGCACACATAACACTTTTAATATAGTAAGAGTCTTCGTGAGAACATCAATTACCAAAATATCGTAAAATCAAATCTGACATAACCATTCTTGATAACAAACCTAATATCGTAGTAAGTAAAGCGTCCCGACTAAAAAGTAGAATGTAGTTCAATTCAGAGAAAAACATCATTAGATATAATGTGATATTAAATGATAAGAACCATCGATGACCTTTCCAAAAGACAAAACAAAGTTACACTGAGACAACCCCTGGTAATCGGGAAGCTTTACGTTTGATATTTTGCATTTAAACAGAGGTAGATCTTCGTTTTTGTATTTCCAAAGTCACAGTATTGGCTTATGGCAATTCCCCCGTATATACATATACATTTTATGGATAAAATATGGATTAGAGCGCCCTTCCTGATAGGGCACATTCACATATGTAAATACTTGACGTGTAAACTATTCTGGATACATAATAGCATTTCAGCTTTTTGTATTTCAGTATTTTATATGAAATATACAAATAGATGAACGGAATATAACCGGAGATGCCTTTAGCACCAAAAAGGTAACGTTGCACATGTTAAATAAATCGTATGAGATTAGAGAACATATACATACTGAATATGCAAGACTTAATGCAGCGTTTTACTTCCTTGTCTAAGGATACGCGTACGATGCCCGTTTATTTACATAGACTCATTTCAAATAATTAAAACAAACTTTTTTTAACATGTATTGAAATGCACCACTTTCATATTGGAAAACTGAAAATTTTAAAACGGACGATTATTCAACAGTATGCTTATCGTCTTGCAGTTATTATAATTTCTACTCTCTACTGGTTAATATTCGTTTCTCAATTTCTCGTTTATTGCTTTGCTGACCTAAGAAACATCGACTAAACCCTCTATATCTGCGGTCTACACAAAGAAAACACCGGTTTCTATCTTTTGTGGATTTCATTTGTCTACCAAGTTTTGTGCCCTTTGATTATTAAATTATAAAAATTCCTGTCAAAGTATATACGAATTAAGCGGGAAATCACCACCATGCCACGTTTTTAAACTTTTCCCTGTCTTCTACCTCTTTCAAAACGTCCCAGATTGAAATAATACATATATACATATTCCGACTAGAGTACCATGACGTAACAATTTTTCGGCTAGAGTAGAATGACGTACGAACAGGTGTAGAGCAGACTGTTTTTAAATTAGATAATAAATTCGAGGTTCTTATATACCGCTTTATCACAACCTAGTTTGAAGGTCGTCTCAAAGCGGTTCACAAATTATTATCTGCGGTTGTAGGGCCTTTGGAACTAGCCAATATCTTCCTCAACTCCCTGGGAAGCTAGCATTCAACAATTCTAGCACTGCCCAACGAAATACTAATTTTACAGCTGAGTAGACTGGAACAAGCGGAGTAAAGTGCCGTGGCGTGACTCGAACCCAAAACCCTTCGGTCACGAGCCCGGCGTCCTAACCACTAGACTACTGTGCCTCTCATAGAAATATTGACATTAATGCTTTTGTTTATCCGTCTGCGGCTCATGCATGCTTAACCTGACAAATACAATATTAGTCAATCAACGATTTTGCCAACGTTTCCATCTAATTATGAAATCTACAGTACTACAGACATGTTATAGTTGGGGCATTGTAGTTAACGCAGATATAGAACAGCAGATTTTGATAGTTCGTTGTTCAAACGAATCTTAAAATAAAAGTAGGTATATGTATCATGGCCGAGTTCATGAGACAGTTAATCTTTGGTTGATATACATATACGGTCCGAAGTCATCCCTCGTGTCCAAATTATTGTGGTACATCGATCCAACACTGTTATTGACCATTTATATTACCAGAGCAAATAAATTCATACAATCTACCGAATTTGTGTACCGCAAAATATACCATCGTAGTTGATAAAAAGGAATACGATGGGAGCCCATTGAATACACATATAACTTCTTACATCGAATTCAAAGTATTGTTCAAAGGTCATTTTCAATTGTATTCTACATTGGCTACTCCAACAAGCAAACTCGATTTCACAATTAACAACTATTTACGATATGACAATGACCAGGACTCGTTTGTATCAAGTTCATAGTTTTCCGACAAATAAAGATACAATTTTAGTCAGTGCTATTTTCGATAATGATTAAATCAAAACATAAAATACGTACATCTTTCGATGCAAAATGATGACCCGCAGATAATACATTAGTTGAAAAAATAAACTAAAATGTTAATATAATATATTTCATTTTTTTTTGCAAATGTAGCTTCTATATTTCATCTACATAATTCAAACCTTGTTATGTTTGATGCAAGTGGATTCAGCTGTCTTAAGACACAACTATATTAAATATATTTCACTTGAAAAACAACAACCCATCTTTCATATGAAAAAACAACAACAACTGTGTCTTCGTTTCTAACACTGATATAGCCTATAAATGCATGCAAAAAGATAATAATTTAAAATGCGAACGGTAATAATATCTAAACATAAGTGAGATACACTTTGGCACAAAAAGTCCATTGGAAATCAGTAGAACTGTATACAGGCTCAATGTTATGCAGCCTGACTTCATAATAATTCAAAAAGAAAGCGTATTTAAAACATGATAAATCATTGATAACAACTGTATATGATAATAGAGAACGCCAAATTTATACAAATTATTTCTGAATAACACAAGGTGAAAACAAATAACAAATGCATTTAATACATTAAACACTTCCATGTCGAACCGATTGCGCAACTTGCCATTATCGGAAGATACTCTGTTCAGAGTTTCGGGAACTGTCTTGAGAAGATGGTTTTAATACCTGCAATAGAAAGTTGTCACGGTATATTGGGATTTTGTTTTGTTCAGAACTGCGTAAATATAGAAGGGTTTGATATTTTCCTGTCACCACTATAACGACGGTCGTTACTGCTCCGTCTGTCGCCGCTATGACTACGGTCGTTACTGCTCCGTCTGTCGCCGCTATGACTACGGTCGTAACTGCTCCGTCTGTCGCCGCTATGACGACGGTCGTTACTGCCCCTGCTCTCGTTGCTCGTTCGCCTGTCGTCATTCGGCATATTCCCGTTTTTGTACTTTTGAACGTTACCATTATTTTTGTATCGTTCGTTTTTTAAATTGTTTTTGCTGATAACATTACTATTACCGATATTAGATTTGTCTGTATTGTTACTATCCACGTAACTTCCGTTCATCCGGTTGTCATGGTAGCCCTTTGATGAGGATTCAACAATTGATTTGATTGGACCCCTCCTGCGTTTGAATTTTCCAGTTTTTATCAGCAGCACCCAAGCTGAACGAACTTCAGTGTTGAAAAGACATCGGAACACAAATATAAGAAATCCTTGCAAAGAGTTGAGGATGGTAAATAGGTAATAGAACACAATTTTGGACTCCTTGATGGCGACAGGACCGAACACCCACGTGATACCAAGCAGGACCATAACGGTGAAAGCTCCGCGCACCTGAGCTGGGGTCACCTTTTCGTTCTTCTCCCCAGCAGGACTGTGACCTTTGAACTTTGGCTTCATGATGACACGAGCAACCAACGTGAATACTATGGTATTAATGATGAGAATACAGCAGGCTGGACCAAGTAATGTAATGTAGAATGCCAGCGTGTTCGATTGTGATATGAAGCACCTGAAGATAGAAATGCACAAGACATGTTAATTTTATCGATGATTTTCATCAGTTTGGATATACATATAAAAGTTCGATTTTTACATCAGCAATGTAATTATAAACATGCCGCAACGTTTCAAGACATCTTATATTCTTGTGTAAAACATCAATCCGTAATACAAATACATATACACTTTAGTAATAGTGGAACTACTATATGATTTTATAAATCTTCAGTAAATGTATCGGATCAAATAAAGATTTGCAGTTACACCGAAATATGATTGCGATTTCTGCATTGTTAAACACATACAAGTACTTAACTTAAGATGTTTTTTTTACTTCATGAACAAATTAAACATCTGAACAATTAAAGAAGGTGCAAGTGAATGTTACATTTATTCCGATGAGAAAAAAGCACTGTAATAGGAAAAAAATCTTGACAATTTAAGTAAAAAGAGCTTACAATTGTCCTTTGGATCTGTAGTTGTCGAGGTTATTAACCCCCATCGTAACGGCTACCACTACTGCCGGGAGTCCTGTAATATATACATCGTACAACATTCAACAGCTAGGACATGAGGAGGTCTCGAAATGTGCAAACGAAAAGTCTTAGAGATAATTTATATGAAGATGATTAAGGGAACTATGACAACGGTATTTGTTATCGACAATCCTGCGGAAAGCAGTGCAGCTAATTTGAACAGGCAAACATGCGAAAATATTAACTAATTGTTATGGATACAAATGTTTCTGTAAATATAGAGTAAATCTATATAATGAATGTACTTCAACGTAAATAAAAAGAATAAAATTCAAATTCAAGTTCGAAACGACAAATAACGGAACACAACAGACACCAGCATAAGAAGAAAGAAGGGGCATCACACCAAGAGGAAATTCAGCAACGACAACAGAGCAAACCACATATAAACACATGGTGATGAACCAACACAACAACCAATAGACGTACCCCAGGCAACGACGCAGCGCTTGAGGATGAAATAAGATGAGTACTTGGTGAAAACCTTGATGAGAGCCTGATACATGTTTATGGCCTCCGTGCACATCCATGTTAGTGTTGTCAACAAGAAATAGTGGATGAGGACTCCAACAGCGATACACAGCCCCTCACCGTCCGACTGGGACGTCTCCGCCATCAACAGGAATGACACGTTCAGCATCAACATGGATACACACATGTTCAACAGGATCTTCCCGGAACGCTCACGGTTCAAAGACCTGAAACATCAATAATTCGTTTTCTTAGTAATCCGTTATCTCTACATTTTTCAAACTCACAGAATGTCAATAAATTTAGCGGTATATTTTCTTACAATATTTGTAATAAAACAAAATTTGAATGAAATATTTATTCTGTATGTTAGTGATTTCTACCGTAATACAAAGTACAATATTCATAAGTCAACCGCGACCCCGCATTTCTTCTGTAATCATGCAAACATAAACTTACAATTAAAACAATAACTTACCTGAAAATGGAGAAAGTGACGATGGTGAATGTCAAACCAAATATGGAAATCGCGCAACCTATATAAGATATGGAAGTCAGTGCTTTGTCATGGTCTTCAGATAAAACCATGTTCGGTGTCGGGTCCTGAAAAAATAGAAAATAATTGATACATACATACTCTATGTATAAATTAAGACTATCAAATGATGTATTTGGTGTTGATTGGTATGCATATTGTACGATGCACTTACTTTTCATGTGTGATATCTGGAGAGTCCACAAACACAACTAACGAAAGGCAACCCAGTATTGTATGCTAGTAACGTTTATACTTTGACTTCATTGGATTTTCATATCAACCTGTTAAACACTTGTTACAGTATAAGAAAGGAGAACAGTATGCTTTGTTATGTCTATTTGTTTGCCACATTTTGATTATCTATGTGGGTTAAAGCTACGGTCGTAATGACGACAATGCCTCCATATGGCATGTCCGCTCCAAGGCAACTTCACAATCACACTACTGCAGTCTCAAAATTTGGAAACGTTAGCGTGACACCACATTCGATAACATTACTCTGATAACGAGTTCATCAAACGTGCTGAAGGACTCCTCGTCGAAAGGGAAGAAGAAGCAAGGGATAAAAGATGGCAAAACGATGGCAGTCCTAGGTTTTGCTTTTTGGGGTAGGGGAGGGAGATGAGAGGAGAGAGGGGCGTTGGGTTAGTTAAACAATAAATCCATAATCCAGACGTACAAATGTAAATCTCTTTAACAATTGTTTGGATAACTCACCAGTAGGACGGCAAAACTAGTGAGATGGTAGGCTCGACAATCGGTCACATGACCTCCTGTTGACACAGTTTCCATCCCTATGCTTGACCACGTACGATCTGAAGACAAACGATTTTTATTTTGAAAAACAATATCTGTGTAAAAATGTATTTCACAAAAAGGAAAACCCTGATCATCTGATTCAGGAAATATATTGTTTCGCTTTTAAAAGTTTAATACGACTACTACATGCTTTCTTTCTTAACATTGAAATACTTTATATCGGAACAATGTAATTAAGTGACATTAGTTTGTATGATTGGGATTTATATGTAATATATTTTATGTTTACATTTTGTTTAAGAAAATGAGTGTTTTTTAATATAAGGCAACGTATTCTTCAGATAAAATAAATTGTATAACATACAATATACAAGGTCACATGATCTTCTTTGTGCAAAATGAATATTGTTACACGTTTAAGATTAATAATTTATAATGAACTTACTCTCTGTTTTCCAGTATACGCATGTATGGTTACTTCCGATCTGAAAAATCAAAGCGGTTTTATAAATAACTACATGTTCTCTCTCACAGGAATCAGTTTGAACACTTTAAAGTCAATAAGCAAAAACAAGATATATATATAATAAGTGATGGGGCAACATACATCTATCGTCTAAAAGATCCTCTCACAGAATATAATGGACAAACTAAACAACTAGATAGACCAGTCGTTAGATATTAGTATATATCAAACATAACAAAATGTTGCATGTAGTACAGTGCATATCAACTTTGATATTATGACGATGCAGCATTCATGATTTTGTTTATTACGATATCTACTGTATCTATTGCAAAATGGCGCTGTTGACATAGTGTGAAACAATCGATTGAAATATGTGTATCTTATCTTGAAAACTTGATACACTTTTGTTATGTCAAACTTATATTTTTTGAAAGTTCTCATTTGTATCCTCTTATTATTCATGAGTACTCCAGTAATTCATGAATGCTCTCTAAAATGTCACCAAATAACAAATCTTATAACAAATATATGTATTTATATATATATATATTAAACCTCGTTACCTAGTCCCTATTAAAATACCTTAAAAGTATGTTAATTCTCTTGGAAGGAGAAATTCAGTAATTATACATATATGCTTAATTGAATAATAACTATGGATTATTTGACTCACTTCTATGTTTGGTACGGAGTAGTCGATGGGGAAGTTGAGGCCGCTTATGTCGGTGTTGTGGACAGTAGCTGATATGACTCTTTGTTTGAGGACTATATGTTCCGGCGGAGAGTCATCAGGAAGAAAGAAGGCAGATGTGCGGTAGGATACAAACTCGAGTCGGACATTTTTGTTGCCAGCAACATCAAAAACCTCTTTTGGTAAAGCCATTTTCACACCATGCTGAAAGACAACCAATTAAATTAAATCTATCGGAAACCATACATATAACTGTTGTATGATCTAACCTTTGGGTTATAAAAGGCAAAACTTACATTTTATTGCATGCGGTTACCATTCGAAAGCATATGAATACTGTTACTTTCGTGTAGTTATAAAATATATATTATTGGTTTTGTTGCAATTATATACAAGAAAACATTTCATTAGGACGTTATTATAACTAAAACGTCCGCGAATGACATGTATAGCCCTATGTCTGTCTTACTTTATTAATACATTTTTCAAAGTGCCATTGAATGCGAATGTACATATATTTGCGGATAGAATGTTATGATAGTATTTTAAGTTGTTTCCTTTCAATTTATAAAATTGCAAATAAAATGTGTTTAATTCAAGGTCAACGACTGGTTTTCATCTTTATTCAAAAGCTATACAATATGTCACATTTTCGGACAGTGAAATTTAGCTTTTACAAAATAGCATAACAATTTACATAAAAGCTGGAAGGGCCCAAATAATATTAAATAGAACTGTATGTAAGCTTTGGAACTTACCATTATATGAGTTCTTGTGTTTGAAACGATACGAAGAAGTAAATGACTCTCCTAAGGCTGGGGCAATATTGTGTACAACCGTACAGTTTATTACCGTAACCAAATGCCAAAAACAGAACACAGTTTTCCACAAGTATACGTGGGCAGTATTTACAACTGTGAGTAAAAGTGGCAAAATACTAAACTATAAAAAGATACGTAGACGGTACCTACACACAGAAAGTGGCAAAGTTGACACACAACTGTATGAAAAAAACCGTACAAAGAAGATATTTACTGAAGTATGCTACGGAGCGTTATGAGTAGGTGTTATGTAACTCACCAAGCCTGATTGGTTTTGGCTATTCTCCAGGACGGGTTGATATTGGAACGCCGCAGTATCGTTGTTGGCATTGTGAGGGAGAGAAAAATTCACCACCATGACGTTGATGTTTTCTGTTGTTATGGAAACGTTAGTCTCTGTCTTCACTTCCTTAGTGAAGTCCTCTAATAGCTTTATCAATCTGCAAATATAACGTTGAATAAAATGTCAAAAGGCGTCGTCCAAAATAGTTCATCTAATAGCTTAATGTATATATCCAATGATCCAGGCTTCTTAATTCATGGATAAACAAAGCCAGCGAACGCTGCTTCATTTATCTTGTGAATACTGCCTCAGTTCAATGCGTTATTTATTTTGTGATTGCTGCCCTCGAACATGTCGTCATTTATCATATATTGTTGTCCTCGCCCATTGCGTCAATGATCTTATTGCCGCCGAGGATTACTTCAAATATCTTCAGATTAGTTTCCCGAATACTGCTTCAATTATCTTGTTATTATTGTCATTGAACACTGCTTCAATTGCTTCCAATTGAATTATCAGTCCAAAACACTATTTCAGTTATCCTGTTAGATATCGACTGCTTTTTCCAGAGATGCAGGTTGTGAGACAATAAGCATGTGTCATGATTTTACTGAGATTTATTCTATTTTATGAAGATCGTCGTTCATGATTATGCTAATTAGAGTGCTTTGTTGTTTCGTTGTCACGTTTTCTAACAGTTTTGCTGACACTGTGTATTCTCTTTCTCTCCTTGTCATAATATTACCCGACCCACCCCCTTCTCACCCTCCAGCACTGCTTCAGTTAACTTAATATCATTGCCGCCCGTAAAGGCTGTCTCATAAATCTTAAAACGATTCCTCGTGTGTTTTCTTCTTTGCACTTTATCGACATTTTAAGTTGTGTTTTATAAAGAATCATACCAGAAATAGTTTCATATGATCTGCTTATAAACTACATATATATTTAATTGATAGTATGAAAATAATCACCTCGTACATCATCAAACTGTCTGATATTAAGCAAAGGATTAGATGTACGTAAAACATGTGAACGTTTCCAAACAACTCAATACTGCAAAACAACGTGACGTGATCCCCGCCTATAACACCACATGTTGTGAAGCAGAGCACCACAACGCAGACGCGCGCCCGAAAAACACCCTGCCGGCATACGCAATACCTCCGCTGTGATGAAAGATACATCGTTTTGTAAACCCTTTGTGGGCTGTCTAGAAAACTCGGATACGATAAATATACATGTTAATATAATTGGACTCTTACAGGATTTTAAATCAGCGTTTGTAACACGTTAGCGGATATTTAAGACATTTCTTTACACGGAATTCGTTTCCCTGTACATCAATGAATAATTAGTATTGCGGTCGTGTGCAGTGCTAGCCTAACACACTGTTATACCTTTATACAATGTAAACTTTGATGACGCATTCATATGATCATACGAAGTAATTTATAACGTGCTAAATAACCAATAAACAATTTATTACAGCACACTCTCGGTAATGCCATCAGGATTCATGGATTCAAAACAACTTAACGAAATATGAAGACAATGAAAATGATTATGCATGCGCTGAATGGCTAATATCCATTTGTTGGTATGGTAATTAGGAATCTTATCAAACTGGAACGTTAATTAATTTCTATCGTTTTATGATCGTCAGATGACATATTCCTTACACCGACTCAATGGTTTGAAAAAGAAGTTCTGATTCATAACGCCAGACTCCTCTAAATAGCATTTTTGGACTTGCATAAGTGTATTTATTGGCATTTCGTGTGAATGTTTTGATTTAAAACTTTTAGTAGACAGTGTTTGTTAAATATCTCTATGTAAAACACATATTTAACGCAATTAAAATATCTGCATGTTGGGAGGGTCCTGCCCCTTATGATAAGAAAACGATAGATTTAACACTTGTCGAATACCTGTTTGGCATATTTTACGCATATAACTTTAAACCTGGTATGCATTTAAAAAAGTTGTAGATTGTTCACATGAATAAAGCAGGTTGATGGTTTTTTTTCGCATGTTGAGATATTTAGTGTGGTTTTTCCCAACAAAGAGAGCATATATGCAGGTTCGTCGCATGTGCACGGACTATTTCGTGTTTTGGTTCATTTGAAAGTTCTCTTTCGTAGTTTGTTAAACGTAAACGTTCTGTTTGGAAGGATTCGTTACGGAGTTATTCAAGAGGCGTTTCGATGGTACCTTTCACTGGAGTGATTTCTGTGGTTACTCTCTATCAACACGGACTCTGTGGCGGTCAGCAGGTTACTAACCACCCTCGTCACCTCCTCTGCTATCTGAAATAAGAAAATACCGATAACTATCTAAAAAAAAAACCACCATCAACTCCACAAGACTATACTGTCTTCGATTACGACTCTGGGTCTATTCATTTAACGTTATCTACAAAAGTGCTTTTGTATAGCGACGGGGTTAAAATTATCTCAATTGTTCCTGGAATAATTTCACGGGGTTTACTATACGCGCAACACTGTTAGTAGTAAATATTCTTTATTAAATCAGAAAGATATTGATTTGGCTTGATAGAATAGAGCACAGAAAAGCCTTTTACTGTATCCTGATACGGGATGATCAAGGAAGGTAGATAGTTTTGTTGCAGTTGACTTGATAAAGCCTTTTCAATAATTTGCACATCTTTTTATTTTTCCCCCCGCGTAATTCATCATGCTGAGGCTTTTAAGTGCCTGGAATTTCTTTTACCCATTCCCATTGCACAAACCTCGTCATCATCAAAGGCGAACACTAGGAGATTTTCCAGGATGTCTGTGGCGTTGATAACGACCTCAGCAGTGAGGTGGCTGGGGTCATGGGTGAAGGCCATTAGATCCAGCAATCTTTTTTCCGCCTCTGCAGCAGTCAACTAAAACACGAGGTATTTAAATATTTTAAGTAAATAATTCAGCTAAACATTTATCTGTATACTCATTTGTAAGGTATGATAAGTATTTGTAACACCACTTGATGCTTTTCTTTATGTGTTCTTCATCAGCCTCCTGTTGTTTGTTTTAGTAAATATATTTAAATACATAAAACATGGTTTTTAATCTACGTTTAAATTTCAATCGTTATTCTGAATACTTATATTTCTAAATACACGACAACCCATGAAGCAATTGTCAAGGTTAATGAAAGAACCTCAATGAGCCACTGAAATCGTCTTTCATGTATTGCGTTGTGGAGAGGCAACTTATGAGATGACCTCACCTCTCTACATGCTGTCGTGTCCGGCTGTCCCCAGTACGCATGACCAGACGGACTCCTGTTGCATGGCCTGGACGCGAAAGGCAACGGATGGTGGGGATGGGCCCCATACGGACAGGCCATAGAGACATTTTGTCTCAGCCCAGTCTCCCGCCAGATGTATCTTCCCGTCTTATCTCGGTACACACTGTTTCCCGCACAAACTTTATCTACAGGAGAAATATCGATAACGCATATAAACAATTGTTACATATAATCCATACTATTGATACAGGCTCTTATACATTGTCAGAAAATATACCAGATATCAAATATATATACAGCAAAAACAGAAATATAATATTATATAAAACAGAAATATAACATATGCAAAACAGAAATATAACATTATATAACAGAAATATAACAAATAAAACAGCAATATAGCATTATATAAAACAGAAATATAGCATTATATAAAGCAGAAATATAGCATTATATAAAGCAGAAATATAACATTATATAAAACAGAAATATAACATTATATAAAACAGAATTATAACATTATATAAATCAGAAATATCACATATACAAAACAGAAACATAACAAATAAAACAGCAATATAACAGATTAGCGTATAAGAGAATAGATTGTCAAAGACAACCAAAAAATATGATAACACATCTGACGTAAAACAATCCGTTTTCTACTTCTTCATTTCACTAAGACATATGGTAAGGATTCGCCTACCATTGATCTAATATTTTGTTAGACATCGTCTTTTCTGATAAACAATGAAACTGGCGTCACCAGCATTGATAGACTGAACAGTTTCTGCATACCGGGGTACTTTCAGTCAGTAAAACTTTCGCCCAGTGTTCCAAGAAATCAATTTTCGCCCAGTGAATATTTGGCCCTTCACATTTAATGACTATGTTTAGTATGCCATTTACGTATAGTCGCAGTAATGATAAAGTTCGCCCTCATTACGTAGGGCGAATAGGACGTCTCCCGGTATACAGTATTATATCGAAATTGAATTGATAATCAAGCTCCTTAACAAATATACTAATAGTAAAATTCTTTTACCTTTTCAAGTGAACTTAAATGACTGCAAATTTAATATTATATTTTTTTTTGCAAAAAACAAATAATTGTATGCCGTTTACCATTCACATAAAACATGTTCACGGTAAAAATATGAAATGTTGAATATTCATTTATGTGGCATGACCAATCATTAACACTTTAGGTAAAGAGAATCCTTTAATTTCGGTCAAATACTAGCAAACACAATATTTTGTTTGTGTATGAATTCAATTGTATGTGACTGTATAGTGATATATGAAAAACTCGTAGAATATCCACTGTATCATTATCAATAAAAAAATGCTTTCCTTCAGCAAAATTAAAAACTGATTTAAATGACAATTGATGACAATATGCAAAACACTATGCGCAATGACATCTTTTGTTATTACCGGTAGATTTCAAATGACACTCAATATACTAACAGTCAAAAGAGACGGACACTTTCATTGGGAAAAAAACTTGCGACTTCCATTGAACCAATGAACAGTATTGGAAAGCCTTCCTGAAGATCGAGAATATACGGAATGCCATATCATAAAGGCATGATTTAAGACATGTGACACTTCATATCATGTTTAGTTGGAGATCAAATGCTATGATGATATAGAACGCTAGAGTAATATAGAACATATGAAGTTATACATATAGAACTCTTAAATAATAGATACAGAACACCAAAGTAATAAATATAGAACACTCAAGTAATAGATATAGAACACTTAAATAATAAATATAGAACACAAAAGTAATAAATAAAGGACACTTAAGTGATAAATACAGAACACTCAAGTAATAAATATAGAACACTAGAGTAATAAATATTGAACACTCAAGTAATAAATACAGAACACCAACGTACAATGTAATAAGTTTACGACACTCAAGTAATAAATGTAGATCACAAAAGTAATAAATATAGAACACTTAAGTAATAAATACAGAACACTAAAGTAATAAACATAGAACACTTAAGTAATAAATATAGAACACTAAGGTAATAAACATAGAACACTTAAGTAATAAATACAGAACACTAAGGTAATAAACATAGAACACTTAAGTAATAAATACAGAACACTTAAGTAATAAATATAGAACACTCAAATAATAAATATAGAACACTAAAGTAATAAATATTGAACACTCAAGTAATAAAAACAGAACACCAAAGTACAATGTAATAAGTATAGGACACTCAAGTAATAAATATAGAACACAAAAGTAATAAGTATAGAACACTTAAGTAATAAATACAGAACACTAAAGTAATAAACATAGAACTTTTAAGTAATAAATATAGAACCCTAAGTAATAAATATAGAACACCAAAGTACAATGTAATAAGTATAGGACACCAAAGAATAAAATATTGAACACTAAATAATAAATATAGAACACTTCCGCAATAAATATAGAACACCAAAGAAATAAAGAAAGTCACTAAAGTAATTGATACGAACAACGTAAAAATGAAAGAATATGTCGTTAAACTTATGAGTTGAATGTGGATAACCTAATTCTGATAACACCTGTGATACTTATTTGCTTAATAAAGATACCACAATCATTAACGCAAAGCATATGCGTTTGTTACCGTGGTTTAAGCACGTACGTACCACATCGTGAAAAGCTGCAGGGATCAATCGTCACGTTACACTTCTGACCTGCAAACCAAAATACTGATTAATGGCAATTACTGATAATGACATCTACATGAACTTAATAATATCATTTGTTTTGATATCAAAATGAATTCATATTAAGAAACAAGAAAAAAATATTCCTACGTGTTTACAAGGTTCCCTTTCGATTATCCAAGCTATATTATAAAATCGTTTATTCTTCTTCAGTTTGGCGAATTAAAATAAAACAAACTGAGACAGGACACGCTAACGTTATTCACTAGCTCCTTGTAAGGATTTGACATCATGTGTAGGATTCTGAGATTGCTACCAGCGCTGCCGCCGTCCTATCCAACTATAATAGACACACTTATAACGCTTAATCTGAGATCAGAAATCCGGGTCTTTGAGTACCGACTGGAGACTGCAACGCAACTAGCTGTCTGGTCATATAAACGTAAACGTATCTGTTCGGTTTCATAGGTTTCACCTTTGGCTACTGGCCATAACGTTTAAGTGTTCCTAATGCACATTTATGTGAGAGTGTCATTAGCAAAGGTTTGAAATTGAAAAGACATAGTCAGAACTGGCATTATATGTATTTGACTTTTAACTCTTTGCCTTCACCTTTAGTGTACGGGTCTGAGAGCGGTGCGTGTCTTAATGTAAAACGTCATAAGGAAATGTTCAACCGTTTTTTAACAGACACAAAGACGCACGAAAGACCCCAATGGATAAATGACTGCTTCATGATTATCTTACTTCGTGGGAAACAAAATTATGCTAGATATGTATTTACGAACCTATCAAAGGAGTGTATTGGGGCCTTCTAGGTTTGATGAGCTACCGCTTTGGTGTATGTGTTTGGCAATATTACATTTTTTCAAATAAAATCCTATCATAGTGTTGTGTTATAAAACAAAATGTGTTATAGTCACGAAATTATCAATGATCGAGGCAAAGTTACAATCCTATACCTGACATTCGAATTGTTCTACTTGCGACATTAATGCAGATGTTTATAAAGTGACATTACAATGTGGAACATTCCTGAACCAAGCACGAAGATTGATAATATATCTGTACTATACTGTGCTATCTAGTTTACACAGGGTCAGTCCAGTCAGACCACATGTGCATTAAATGGGGATATTAATGTATTGTTTACAGCGGGATATGTATAGAGAAGACGGCGGTCACAGCTTAGGGCTAAGTAGTATGACAGGCTTCATCTTCTGATGTAGTAGACACCATGAGGTCAAGTGTGTGTAGCGTTTTACATTCAACGAGCTGGGTACCATCCTTGTTTATCATAAAAACTCAGGACGAGGCACCAGAACACACGCTATTATAATGAAACATATATACTTGTAAACTTCCAAGATTTATGATCGACATGTAATATTTTTTTAGCCTTTTTTTTGTGTGTGTGTGTGTGTGTGTGTGTGTGTGTGTGGGGGGGGGGGGGGGGGGGGGGCGTGTAAAAACAAAAATACCCCCCTTTATCGCTAAACATTATCGTGTGCCGATAAACTGTTTGATTAGATTTTTTTGCGTTGTAAAAATAAAATAAAAAAAACATGGACGAAAATGGATCCTCGAAACACGGAAGGAAAATCTAGAACGACATAATTATCTTGTCTTATATGTTATTTCGTTTACTCGCAGAGTTGAACAAGAGATTGTCGATGCAGATATGATATATGCAGATATTTTGTTTGTCATAACGTGCCCAAACAAATCTGAAATTATAACAGTTTGCATGATAAAAACATACCTTTTAAGCATAATAGTACATACAAAACTGAAGTAGCCACTGATATGAATACGAAACATTAATGTTTTGAGTAATTTATCTTAAACTTGTAACATCAATTTAACTGATGTATATGGTACTTATTGAACAGCATGTCACTTAAAGCCATACTCCATCAGCATTAACAAGTTGTTTCAAATATCATTAAACATGATGTCTAAGCTTCTATCCTGTAAGGAGGTCCATCAATGCATCACAGTATTAATCCCGGGTCGCTGTAAGTTTACAGGGTATGGGTTGGAGATCATGCTATGGTTCTCTACATACATACAGTAGGTAATCACATTATTATCATATCGTGTTTTACGACAGATTTATCAAACAATTAAGTGTGCTGATAATCATTTGCATATAGCGCTGTGAAAGGGACGACGCAGAAAAGGAAATTTAATGCGCCGTCGTGTTGGTGTCGTGTAGGTTTGTCTGTCCTCAAGTGACAGCTCTGCTCCGAATGTAATCAATTTAGCCGTGTGTAGGCTTATGTGTGCAATTTGATTGATTCAGTCTTTCGGTAGAGTGCAATATATGTGTTTGTTATAACAATAATACTATTCCAAATCCCTGTTTTATACAGAGTGTGAGTGTAGAGTATATAATGCTGCATGTTCCGATCATCTGATTGAATTGCGTTTTAATAAAGTTGTTTTTGTGTATTCATTCCAAGCTATACATACGCAAAAGTTAATGAAAGTACAGTTATATGAATTCGAAATAGCCCCTCGGGACCCCATTTATTCGTCTGAAAGGGTATATCCGTGGTCACGTGTCATTGACGTGAATAACCACACGACCAAGTCGATAACTCGACCATAATGTTCCGGTAGCTGTGAGGCTGGTTATTGACGATTTATTTATTGGCAATATCCATCATTGGATGCCAATGGGTCTATCAATTAACTGTGATATATTTTATCCAATAGGAAGTCGTTATTAGACAGACATTAAAATATTATTGGAATTTTATAGATAATTATTCCTCCAATTTCTAAATACCGCAAGTAATTATTTCCGCGGAAAAACTGATTACCGATTTATTAATCGGGAACATAAATTAGAAAATGTTATACTACCGCTCGATATAAACACCATATGACAGATTTTAGATAACGAGTTTTTGGCTAATTGGTTTCTAAACAATATACTGTCTACATGGCGGCCATAGTTTATCAGTAAATTTTGTATGTACTGTAAAGTGGAGTGGATCTACTACGTATACGTTGGGTTACACACTGCATATTAAGTGGTGTGTAGGGCTTTGGTTTAATGACCTTCTGTAACCCACTGTATGATTGTGCGAGGCGACTAATCTGGGGATTCATGTAGCATAGTATTTTTTCTGCGTTTTCTCGATAGCAGACTGCAATTGCAATAGTTACAGTACTGTTAACTAATGTTTGGTGAACCACTGTGACCATATTGTGTTGATATGCCGTATATGATTTTGTAAGGGTTGTACAATCAACTGTTGATGAACAATCAAGTTTGAGTGTTTACAGAAAGCTTGGAACACAATACAATGATGCTTACACGTATTTTTTTAAAGTGTGGTATCCGGATTATTTGAGTTTTGATAGCGTTATTGTTCACTCAAGCATATATCCGTACCAGAATATAAAGCATGTCACTTGATAGCGAGCGTGTATTAGGACTGGTACTAAACTCATCCAAGTAAAACGTTATGTTCATTGTAATCGTATTGAAATAGTAAATCTTTCCGCTGTATGCTTTGAAACTAAACAACGAAAAATGTACTAACTTACATCCTCAATAGCTTGTCTTTAGGGAGAGTTTCAGGATTCCAATTAATGCATCGTAAATAATTTTTCACTTACTGCTTCTTGAAGTTCATATGATGCGGAAATGATACGGGGGCGTAGCTGTTATATATAACAAGGCGTGTTCATATGTAAAGTACAATCACTTGGTTTCTAATGAGAGATGACTGGAAATGTTTACGGGGAGCAGCATCCTCATCTGAACTTTAAATCCTCGCGATAAGTGTGCATTTCCGGTTAGACGGTGCGTCATTGTTGATGTCAAAGTGTGAATGTGTTGTGGGAAAAACTGTAATTTCTGTTAGATAATAGGTCCTATTCGATAGAAATCCGGACGAACAAGCATGAATTTGTTAATTTTACTCACAGTCAAAAGTTTAATTTTGCAGTCCAGATAATTGTTCATATACTATTAAATTAAAATAGACAAAGGCTCATTTACTTCCCTATCATCGTGTTCCAGTATGTAAATTAATCAATGGGCGAATGCTACATAAGAAAGAATATAATTATAACTCTCTTTTTTACTCTGAACTTAAAATCAAACGGGAAGGCCGAAATTGACCATTTAGTGTATAACCAACGGGGAGAGTCCAAATTTAACCTAAACAGACGAGGAGAGTCCCCATTTTACCTATACCGACGAGGAGATTCCCCATTTAACCTATACCGACGAGGAGAGTCCCAGTTTAACCTAAACAGACGAGGAGAGTCCCCATTTAACCTTTACCGACGAGGAGAGTCCCAATTTAACCTAAACAGACGAGGAGAGTCCCAATTTAACCTAAACAGACGAGGAGAGTCCCCATTTAACCTATACTGACGAGGAGAGTCCCCATTTAACTTATACCGACGAAGAGCGTCCCTACTGAACCTATAACCGACAAGGAGAGTCCCCATTTAACCTATAACCGACGGGGAGAGTCTACATTTAACCTATACCGACGAAGAGCGTCCCTACTGAACCTATAACCGACGAGGAGAGTCCCCATTTAACCTATAACCGACGAGGAGAGTCCCCATTTAACCTATACCGACGAGGAGAGTCCCCATTTAACCTATACCGACGAAGAGCGTCCCTACTGAACCTATAACCGACGAGGAGAGTCCCCATTTAACCTATAACCGACGGGGAGAGTCTACATTTAACCTAAACCGATGTGGAGAGTCTACATTTAACCTATACCGACGAAGAGCGTCCCCATTTAACCTATACCGACGGGGAGAGTCCCAACTTAACCTATACCGACGGGGAGAGTCCCCACTTAACCTATACCGACGAGTAGAGTCCCCACTTAACCTATACCGACGAAGAGAGTCATCATTTAACCATTACCGACGAAGAAACTCCACATTTAACCTATAACCGACGAGGAGAGTCCCTACTGAGCCTATTACCGACGAGGAGAGTTCCCATTTGACTAATCCCGACGAGGAGAGTCTTCACTGAC